ACAGACACAAGTTAAATTAAAGAGGGGGGAAACTCTCCCCCTTTTAGAAATGGGCTTTGCAATTTCACGGGTTATATATTTTAAGGGAGCTCATTAAGTCATGTTTAAATTAAATTCCAGTTCCAAGCCAACCCGGACTACCAACTGAGCGGAGATGACACACAGCACATCCAGCAGTTCTACGACCTCCTCACCGGATCCATGGAGATCATCCGCGGATGGGCAGAAAAGATTCCCGGGTTCACCGACCTGCCGAAACCGGATCAGGACTTGCTGTTCGAGTCCGCCTTCCTGGAGCTTTTCGTGCTGCGCCTGGCGTACAGGTACCGAGGCTTCTTGAGAAGTGGATTTGCTGCTTCGAATTTTATTGGCTCTGCAATAATCATGAGCCGCTTAAATCCCCGTTTAATGCGCGCAGTAATTAATGGGCGCTTTGTCATTAATTTCAGGTCCAACCCGATGGAAGGCAAACTCATCTTCTGTAACGGGGCGGTGTTGCACAGACTGCAGTGCGTGCGTGGATTTGGCGAGTGGATTGACTCTATAGTGGAGTTCTCGTCTAATCTTCAGAACATGAATTTAGACATGTCTGCTTTCTCATGCATCGCCGCCTTAGCTATGGTCACAGGTAAGATCCGTTTTATTATACCGTTCAGAGAATTACTATTTTTTATGGCATGTTCTTATAAGCTAGAATAATAATAATAAGTATTATTATTTTGCAGAGAGACACGGACTTAAAGAACCCAAGAGAGTTGAGGACCTTCAAAACAAGATAGTAAACTGTCTGAAAGATCAAGTCACCTTCAATGGAGGCGGCTTGAATCGTCCGAACTATTTGTCCAAACTGTTGGGGAAACTACCTGAACTGCGCACACTGTGCACACAGGGTCTGCAGCGCATCTTCTACCTAAAACTAGAAGATCTGGTCCCACCACCAGCAATAATCGACAAACTGTTTCTTGACACTCTGCCCTTTTAAACGGAAAGAGAGAGAGAAGGGGAAAAACTATTTCAAACAACCTCAGAGAACTTCCACAGACTCCCAAAAAAAAAAAAAAAAAAAAAACTGAAAGTCTGATTTTTTTTTTCAAACCATGCCAACCATCGCCAAATGAAAAAGGATCCAACAATTTAAAGGCTGGAAAACTCCACGCGAAAACTATAAAAAAATAAATAAAATAGCCTAATAATTATACACTTTGCCATCGGCAAGCGATTTTTTCCCCTCTTTATCCCACCCATTATCTGCCTCTGAGTATCTCAGAACAGATGCAAATGTAAAAAAGAAAAAAAAGTAATAATAACATGAGAAATTATAATAAAAGACAGATTATCCAATACTTTGCCTGATTTTGAACAATGACAAATATCTCGCCACTAATCATTGTTAACTGCAAAACGTCTGTATTCTTGGAAAAATCAGAGTAGTAGAGTGGAGTGTATCATACGCCATTTCTATATACCTATTCAATAGATTTATGTAATTTATATGATGTGTATAAAGCTTGTACAGAGACAGTTTTTTTTTCCTTTCTTTTATAACTTGTGCCTGTGTATCTCTGTCAGGTGGAAAGGAGACGCATGTTGTAGAGGACTCTTGTCTCTATTACACACTCTATATTCCGGACACTATGTAGTCTGTTAGATTTTATAAAGATTCGTAGTATTGGGACAGCTTTTAAATATGGCACATGTGGATAAAAATACCAGTATCATCTGTACAGGTAAAAAGGGACCCATAGTGTTTGTAAAATTGTCAGACATTCCTTGTTTGTATGTGCTGTATTGTTGCTGTTTAATATAAACGTTTTATATATTTATTTGAGTTTGCCGTTAAAGCATGGTGCAGTTGAAATGATTTCAGACGCATCACCGTCGTCTTTGTTGAATGTCTCATATGTGATTTAATTTGTCATTTTTTCCCCTGTAGGTGTGTGAAAATCATCACTGCCTTTTTCTATGGTTTAACTAAATATACGCGTTCGGTTCGGTTCCGAATCCGAATCAAACTCCACGAGAAAAGAACATTTAATGTTTACAAATAAAACTTTTAAATAATTTCCAAGGAGGA